GTGCCATGAGCTGGATCATTGATAGTTATATCAATCGGGTTACCACCGCTATTGACCAACTCAATAACTACTGAATTATCTGGTCTTTCAAAAGCAATAGACTTGAAATTTCCCGGAGTTTGACTGGCTGTCAGCTCAACCCTAACTGAATCGGGTGCTATAAACTTGCTAAAGTGCCCGATGGCATAGAAGTTGGGATTTTTGAAATATTCCTTGTTTTTAGCATCAATGAGCAAGGGTGCGTCAGCCATTTTAAAATCTTTGTTAGGGTGACCAAATATGTCCAGGGCCAAATTCCATTCCACCCAACCACTCACCCAGTGATGAAAAGTCTAATGATACAAATGTAGAATTATATATTCCTAGATCATTTATATTTTCAATTTATATACTGAGCACTTACATCTACAATTTGATTGGCATAATTAGTTGCCTGTCCCCACTCGCCCAGAGTGGACGGTGTGAAGGGTTCGGTATTTTTGCGAAAGTTTTGACAACATTCACTCATTAGTGTAAATACATCAGGGTACTTCTGGTGCAATGCATCGATACCGGGATACCTAGTAGACAGATAACAATGGAATGCGATGCCTATATAAAGTAGACAGGTGATTTAATTTAGGAAGATTTATTTATTTAAGCTCCAAACGTACCTGTGATATATTTAGCAGCATCCTTGTCACTGAGACACGTGTCCACGTACTCGATCATAGGATTTTGATCACTGCCATCATCGTAAACCATCAAGTTCATTTTATCCTTTGTATAGCCAGCCTTTGTCAATGCGGGTACAAGGTGCTTTTTAATAAAGTCGCGCTCAATAGATGCGTTTAAGAACTGCATTGAACTAAATGACCTAGGTTCATTTTGCATGGTTAAACCCCATAACTCTACACCTTGTTTTTTGTACCCGTCAAGAAATCTATGAATGTAAAATTCAATATTTAAACACAGTCAATTTAAATATTATATTTACTTGACAAAATAATTAGCCCATGTTTCATATTGTTTATCAGGCTGAGTTTTTAATAACTCTTTGTCATTGAGCCATTTCGGTGTAGTCCAGGGACTGCCGAACAGTTTAAGGCCATGTTGAGCCACCTCTTTAGCTAATTTAATTTGCGGAATCTATTTGTCATAAATCAATAAAGTTATTTTAATAAATATTATCCTAGTCACCAGAGATTTAGAAATTTAATTATATAATAAGAAATTTTAAAATTTGTTTAAAACTACCTTGTATTTAATATCCTCATCAGGCATAGTAAAATGTTCAAGTGAATAGTCATCCTTTGTATCATCGTATGTGTATATATGGGTCGAGAAGTCGCATCCGGCCATAGGTATGCGAGCCATACTGAACCCAATACCAGATGCTGAGAAATAGTCCTTGATAACTCTATCGGACATGTCCTTGGGCAAACTACCAATATTAATAGCAGCTGCATCAGTAAACGCGGCACCTATACCAAATATCTTTTGGAACTTAAAACTTTTCTCCAGGGTCAGTACGACACGATCAGCGTCAACGTGGTCATTTTGTTTGGTAAACTTTAATTGCGATTCTTTGAATCTGTCCCCACTTTGACTGGTCTGGTAGGACAGTATAGTTCCAACGGGTTGTTTGGTAATAGGATCTAGGTCATCGCAATATGTAGCGTTGCAAACACAGTACAGGGTGTCCTTTCCCTTACGACCCACACATTCATGTCTGCAATCGATGATTACTATTGAGTTAAATATATATAATAAGGGTTACATTTCATTAAGATATAGCATCATTTCATTTTTAATTTTACTCACCAAACGTAAATGACAAACAGACAAATACACAGAAAATATAATTAAGATTCATTGTAAATATATATTTCTAGACTAAATAATTTGTAAACTGCTAAATGTAATATTTCGGGTTACTTTATATAGGTATTAAAGATCAATTGTTCAAAGTTTTTATATGAGAATTTATCATATGTTTACGTCACTAGGGACATTTTATCTTAAATAGATTATTACACTTACAGTACACTTGTTACAAATTTATTTTAATTATTTGCACTTAATTTACAATTTATAAAATGCGTTCTACTATCATGCTGCTTACGTAAATTTGTAGTTGTTAAATCTTTTTCATCAATTTAATACACATATGAAGCCATATTAGTAAAAAGTCTTATAATTAATTTAAACTTAATCTATAATTCTATTCTTATAAAAATATAGTGAAAATATAATTATACCTTTACTATTTTATTATCATTAAATACAATATACCTAATATTTCATAATACAGTACATTTGATAAACATGCACATTATCACACCTGAATCCACGACCGTAATAAACTAATTGTTTATTCTATGAAATAATCAAAAGGATATGATTTAAATCCTGTAAAATTTGAAAAGAAATTTTGTAAGTTAAAAAACGTTGGATAAAAATATTTAATTTTCCAACCTTAGATTTACTAGAAAATATTTTACATAAATTACTTGATGCCACTTCAAAATCCTTATGGATTTATATCGGTATGTTTTATACGAAAGGGACCACGGAACTTTATACTGAGATCACCCTGTTTATACATTTCATTAAAATTTAACATTATAACAGTAATATGTAAGCAGAATAAATGGTCTTTTCGTATAAAACATGAAATAAGTATTATATGTTGTGCAGGAGATATTACAATAATCAACATTTATGTAAGGTTGCATCTTATTTTTATAAAATAAATTCATTTCAAGTAATTGTAAGACTATATAATAAAACAGATTTTTGTTACGAGTAATGAATTCAAATAAAAAAGGATTTGACTCGAGAACCGCGTATGTCTGGGTATAAAAGGTAAACTCTTTGAAAAAATAACATTAAATAAAGATTTTATTTTATTTTTTTCAAAGAGGTCTGAACCAAAAATTCGCATTCATTAAAAAATAGTAGAAAAAATTGTTTTTAAAATATTTTTATTATCTTAAAAATCAAATTTAATTCCAATAAATATATGTCTCAAGTGAATGCCCAGGTACATGAGTATCAATCTTGAACAGCTCGTCAACTGCCGCGTACCTATTAGCCAGGTAACAGTGGAACACAATTCCTGTAATGTAAATCAATGTTGCCCATGAATGCAATATTATATTGCCAATATGATTAAAACGTGAGTTACCAGTGACATATTTAGCTGCATCCTTGTCACTGAGACAGGTGTCCACGTATTGAATCATAGGGTTGTCAGTACTGCCGTCATCATAGACCAGAGATATTGTACTCAATCTCGAAGTCATCCTGGGATAGAGTGCCCAGGTATTCAAATATTGTAGAGAAAATATATAGCTAGTGAGTGAGTGAGAGAGAGAGAGAGAGAGAGAGAGAGAGAGACAATTAAAAATTGGGGTAGGGGGCTAACTAGTTATTAATTATGTCACATAATATATGAACTAATATATAGACTATGATTGCAACATAAGTGTGGATACAAATCATAGTTAACGCCATAGTTAATCATAGTTAATAAAAATAGTTTATATGTATTTCATTTCGACATAGTTTTATATGTGTATAAAATACGATATTTTATATAATATTCAGTGACTTATATTTCTACTTATTATTCACTGCATTGGATATGAATAGCTGGGCACTGTTGCGCAGGATGAGTTGCGTATTGAGTACTAGATCACTATCGTAGACCATCAAGTTAAAATTGTCTTTAGTATTCAGCTTTTGCCAGCGCGGGACCAAGGTGCTTTTTCACAAAGTCTCGCTCAATAGATGCATTTAGTATCTGTATAATAGGCGCTTAACGTAATTAAACTTATTTGACCAATTTATGACTTTTAATTAATCAGTAATTTCGAATTTTAAAAAGTTATGCCTTTTAGGCCGTAAGCGTTTTGGGAGAATTCGGGAATAAAGTAATCATTTTTATTTTATATAAAAAATACCTGGTTCGATAATTTGTATAAATTGCAAAAATAATACACGATTTTCTGTTTTAATTTATATTTATTTCAAAGACATTACATTTAATTCCAATAAATATACGACTGAATAGACTGTCCGGGAACATGCACGTCAACTTTGCCATGAGTTGGATCATTGATGGTTACATCATGAGGGACGGCACCACTATTGACCAAGGCAATAACCATTGAATTATCAGGACTTTCAAAAGCAATAAACCTGAAACTTCCCGGAGTTTTACTGGCTGTCAGCTCAACCCTAACTGAGTCGGGTGCTACAAACTTGCTAAAGTGCCCGATGGCATAGAAATTGGGATTCTTGAAATATTCCTCGTTTTTAGCATCAATGACCAGGGGTGGGTCAGACATTTTCAAATCCTTGTTAGGGTGACCAAATGTGTCCAGGGCCAAATTCCATGCAATCCAACCACTTACCCAGTGATGAAAAGTCTAATGATCAAAATGTAAAATTGTATATTCCTAGATCATTTATATTTTTAACTTATATATTGTGCACTCACATCGACAATCTGATTGGCATAATCAGTAGCCTGTCCCCAGTCGCCCAGAGTGGCCGGTGTGAAGGGGTCGGTATTGTGGCGAGAGTTTTGATTACATTCAGTCATCATTGTAAATGCATCAGGGTACTTTTCGTGCAATGCATCAACACTGGCATACCTATTGGGCAGATAACAATGAAATGCAATGCCTATATAAAGTAGGCAGGTAAATTAATTTAGAAAATTATTTATATAATCCTTTAATATACCTGTAAAATATTTAGCAGCATCATGGTCACTGAGACACGTGTCCACGTATTCGATCATTGGATTTTGAGCACTGCCATCATCGTAGACCATCAAGTTCATTTTATCCTTTGTATAGCCAGCCTTAGTCAATGCGGGACCAAGGTGCTTTTTCACAAAGTCGCGTTCAATAGATGCGTTTAAGAACTGCATTGAACTAAATGACATTGGCTCATTTTGCATGGTCAGTCCCCATAACTCAATGCCATGCTTTTTGTATCCGTCAAGGAATCTAAGAATGGTAAGTTCTATATTTAAACATACTCAAGTTAAATATTATATTTACTTGATAAAATAATTAGCCCATGTTTCATATTGTTTATCAGGGTGAGTTTTTAATAACTCTTTGTCATTGAGCCATTTCGGTGTATTCCAGGGACTCCCCATGAGTTTGAGGCCATGTTGAGCCACCTCTTTAGCTAGTTTAATTTGCGGAATCTATGTCATAAAACAATAAAATTATATTCATAAATATTATTTATTGTCACCTAGGATTTAGACATTTGAATTATTTCACAACAGGTAAACAATTGTTTATAAGTACCTTGTATTTAATATCCTCATCGGGCATGGTAAAATGTTCAAGTGAATAGTCATCCTTTGTATCATCGTAGGTATATAAATGTGTTGAGTAATCGGTACCGGCTATAGGTATACGAGCCATACTGAACCCAATACCAGATGCTGAGAAATAGTCCTTGATAACCCTATCGGACATGTCCTTGTTCAAACTGCCAATATTAATAGCGGCTGCATCGGTAAACGCTGCACCTATACCAAAAATTTTCTGGAACTTTTTGCTTTTGTCCAGGGTCAGTGTGATACGATCCTCATTATCATGGTCACTTTGTTTGGTAAACTTTAACTGGGATTCTTTGAATCGGTCCCCGCTTTGACTGGTCTGGTAAGACAGTATAGTGCCAACGGGTTGTTTGGTAATAGGATCTAGGTCATCGCAATAGGTAGCATTGCAAGCGCAGTATACGCTGTCCTTTCCCTTACGACCGGCGCATTCGTGTCTGCATTCAATTACCGCTATATATAATA